GCTCATGTCATGCTCATGTCATGCTTACGCCCCATTGGCCAGTGGTGGAAATTTCGCAAAACCGCTGTTTACTTTCCTGTAAAGTGGTGCTCGTTGTTTATCAAACCTGGAGGGAGAGGCGATGGGCTGAGTCAACCCCCAACCAGGATTGGAAATCGCAGCGATCTGATTGCGAGCCGCCCGCTCTTCCGCTGAGGACACACCTGGCCGGTTCAACTTGGCTTGCCAATTTATGAGCGGGTTGGTGCAGCGGTGAGGGCAATGAGCTGTGAAACTCAGCGACCCGAGTTGGATTCTTGGCCACGGCTAGCATCGGTGGTGAACGATACAAGAACCGGCTCTGCCCTCCCCATCCTCGCCTACCCACGCTGACCAACGCGCCGCACTGGCAATCAATATTTTTCTATTAATTGGTCCATCCTTGTATCTCTCCCATCCGGCATTTGCAGCGTGATTGATTTAGTGTGGAACATAGAGATTGCATATTGATGTCTATAGTTATTGTTATCATTTTACTGCTCCGAAATATCCATTAGAGAAAAAAATCCGTTGTTGTGCTGTACTTCAATGCTCTATTCTCCTCGCATTCACCGACCCGCATTGATCGGTGCAGTGAAGGATGGTGAAAAAACCTCACCAATACTCCCCCATACTGACATGGGTGGGGAGGATCTCATCTATGGGTGGATTGAGAACTGAATTGTACTTTTAAAAATCTCATCAGTGGAATATCTTTCGCGTGATAATTTTTCCCTTTCTCTCTTTTAGCAGAAAAAAGTGCTTGTTTTTTAATATATATACTGTATAATTAAGAGATTTTTTTAATCAGGCCCTGCAGGTATATTTGTTTTCAACAAAGGTGCCTAATTCTCGCACGCGTTTGGCAATTTATAACCTTCACCGGCACCCGTTAAAAACAAGTTCACAGTCAAATCTCCACACCCCCAAACAACAACAAAGAACACGTTTAAGAGAAAATAGCACTGCTGCCGATGTTCATCATCCTAACCCACGGGGGGAGGTGGGGGGGTGGTAGTGGTGTGGTGGTGGTGCGCTGCTGGAGAGGCAAGAGTATGTGTGTGTGTGGGTTTGTACAACATCTCCGCTCTTTGGGGAACCTTTATCACGTTCTGGAAATAATTTGCAGTGAATTAGCCGAGGCTTTAATGAGCAGACACCGAGCGGAATGCGAGCGCACTCCATTACGGGGGGGGGGGGGGCAATTGGGGGGCTGGCTGGGCCTCACTGCTCACTTGGCCACTTTAGTTCCGCGCCTGCAGTTGTTATGTTCTTGATCGCTTGGCCCTTCCTAGGCGTCCGCATGCTGTACCGGGGTGCCGCCTGCGAGTGCCGCTGAGGGTGTAATTGCGTAATTTTCTCCCCCCACTCCCGACGGATTTGTGAGCACTTGACGTGCCCCCCTCTTCTATTTCTTCCTTTCTTCGTGCGAATTGCACGAGAGCTGTCCACGGGTGCCCCGAACGAACGCTTCCTGTGTATGTATTAAACATACATACGGACCGATCACGCTGGGCGGCGGGGTGTACGTTAGTGCGCACGGACGTACACCGATTACCTGGGAGAGCGTCAACAAACCCACCACCTTAGTTGGAGACTCTTCGGCACAGAATGAAAAGTAAAAAAAAAGAGTCGGACACATTTTTTCATGAAAGCGCTTTATTTTGAGTAAAAACGATCGGCTGGACTCAGCAGTGGAAGGGATTGGGGGAGGTTTCCGTCACACACAAAACAAGCCGGAGACGCCCCTCTGATCAGTGAGGTAGCTCATAGGGGGTGCACAGGCGGTGCAACTGCACTTGGGCACCATGGGTTTGACCCAAATCGGACAGGGGAGAGGGATGGGGTGGGGGTCCCATTTAATTCCTCGCAGAAGGGCCCATACCAACAACGCTGCACAATCGGATACAGTCCTTAACGTCGTCGTCATCATCATTTATCAACCATGGTTAATCTACTGCTGGATAATGGCCTGCCCAAGCTGCCATGCAGCACCTCTCACTATCCTGCCATTGTGACATTGTGCTGTGTCGTGCTGTTGTGTCATCGTGTCGTGCTGTTGTGTCATCGTGTTGTGTAGTTTTGTTTGTGTCATTCTGTCGTCGTGTCGTGTCGCTGTGGCGTCATTTCGTGTCGTTGTGTCATCGTTTCGTCGTGTCGTTGTCTCCTGTGGTTGTGTCGTCATATCGTTGTGTCGTTGTGGCGTCATTTCGTGTCGTTGTGTCATCGTTTCGTCGTGTCGTTGTGTCGTTGTCTCCTGTGGTTGTGTCGTCATGTCGTTGTGCCATCGTGTCGTGTCGTCATGTCGTTTCGTCGTGTCGTTGTGTCGTTGTCTCCTGTGGTTGTGTCGTCATGTCGTTGTGCCATCGTGTCGTGTCGTCATGTCGTTTCGTCGTGTGGTTGCGTCATTGGGTCGGTGATGTTTTCGTGTATTTCGACGCTTTGTGTTTATTTTGTGTGCCTGTGCTTTTCTTTCATTCCTTTAACGTCATCCAAACTCTGAAGCACTGAGCTCTGTGTGTGAGGAAAAATACCCCCCCCCCCCCCGAAATACAAGCTCATAGACTATGTTCCGTGGGAATTTTTAGCACAGGGATGGGTGTTTTTCCACCCCCCCTTTTTTTAAAGAAAATGAAATGATATGTATGAAAAACAACGGTAGAACTGTCAAGGAACTGCTGCGAAAATCTGATACCCAGTCAAGATAATTTTCATCCTTCAGCTCAATTTGCACTGCCTACCACTTAAAACACGGGCTCCTCTGCTGCTCATGGTCACCACTGCAGTGCGTCTCATATCCGCTCTCCTTGGCGGCCCGACTTGAAAGGTGTGCCTTAGCGTGCCAAAATAGGTGCTCGCTGACAGCACTTTCCTTCAGATAGACGCCACCATATGCTCGCAGAGAGACCCATTGAGACCCATGGACTCGTTTCGGGGATGATGTCGCGTTCAGAGACGCCGTTTCAATCCGCATCGTATTGTCATCGTATTGGCAAAGGTGCAGGTGTGCAATTTCTATCTCACGCCACTGCCGGCAGAAGGGCTTCGACTTGAAGGAGCTCCACAGAGGCCCACCCCCCCCCCCTCTCTCAGAGGGTGTTGCCCTCCTAGGCTTGCTCGCCGGTTCGATTTCCTGGTGTTCGCAATTGAAACACCTGTGCCACGTTTCGGTTTCTCCATTCCGTCTCCTTCACCACCGTCAGTCTGTCCACCCACGGTCAGTCGAACGACAGGTCGTGTACGGTGGGGTTAAGTGTGGGTACCCCCACCTCTTCCAAGACATCTGGCCAGCACGGTAGAGTCGGCGAAAATACCCTGCCTCTCTCGAGATCGCTTCAGTGGAGACCCGTTTACCAGCAGCGGTGTGAGCACAACAATTGCATGGCTGCGCCTTTACCGACAACAAAGGGGGCTTGGTGATGAGAGAGTTCAGGTGATGTCGGAGAGTTCAGGTCTTAAGGGAGAGTTCAGGTGAGGGAGAATTCAGGCGCTGAGGGACAACTCATCTGCCAGAGCATCTTACAAATTGATTTATTTTAACGTGGTTGCCCTGTCACGTTCAGTGACATGTTGATAGTTTTTTTGCCTGCGCTAATTATGCTCGGGTGAAATTGTCTTCGTAAACGAGGTCAGCTCAGACTGTTTCTCTCGCAGGATTGGCTGGCTGCCTGTCTGCATCAAAAGCAAGTCCATTGATATTTCTCTTTTTTTTTGCCAGAAGGATTTTTTTTTTAACATTGGAATAAATCAAATTTAAAGCATACATATTTCATTCGAAAAAAAAAATCCACTAACAAATAGAAGCCAACAAAAATCTATCAAATTCATATGTATCGGGCCAATAGCGGCATTGACTTGTGTGCACGCACGCGCTCGTTCGCTCGCACGTGTGCGGTTTTCGCGTAGCTTACTATTGCATCGCGCAAAGCGATCCCTACTGCCTTCGTGCCCATCGATTTAGCTCCCACACCGCAGCACGTGGTCCTCCCTGTAACCGTGCAGCAGCAGCAGCAGCGTCGCTCCCATTTCGCTGTCGTTTAACTCCCGCCGTCGTCGAGCACGCGTGTGCAACAAAACCCCCCTCTTTTTTTTTTTTACGATCGACGTGGCGGTGTCGAAAATGTCCGGGGATAATTCCGGCAGAACGCCGGCGAAATCACCGGCGGCGGCGGCGGCGGCGACGGCGGCAGCGGCGGCGTCGTTGTCGTAGTCCTCGTTAGGTGCGGTGTTCAGTTGGGGAAAAATGCGCACAAACTGATTATGCATTGCTGTGGGGCATTATGGGTAGACGCATATTACGACTACGAGCAGGACTCCGTGTGCAGTGTTGTGCGCCATGATGAGACCCAGACGGTGGAAACCAGTCCACAATTTTCCAGCTCAACAGCATTCATTCGGGGCAAGGCTGAACTCTGCTGATGAGACAGTGTATGTCGAAACCGGTCGAGTGTTTTGCCGGTACTGAATCAATACTGCTGAAATGATTAGCTCCCAAAAGACCATGGGGTGGGTGGTTTGTGTAAAGAATACTTCCACGTATTTTTTTTTACGTAGAGGGACGGATATGAGAAGGAGACATATTAATCTGCTAACCTATGTCCCCAGTTATGACTCAAGCACCCGAGCGTGGAGTGCAGCGTTGAGAGGTGAATGAGTGGGATCAGATGGGACTGTGGAATTTGTTTTCCATGGACCTGCTCTAGGGCAGACAACTTTAGAGATACTATGTAAATATGTCTATACACAGTGCTAACTGCATCCAGTAATGGTATCACATCAAACACACACCATTCTGTTGGATATATATTTTTTCATGAAAGTGGCGGAAAGTTATTCAACTTGTTTGTGCATTCTGTCTGTCACTCTCCCCCACCATTTTTTATGCTTTCCTTCATCTCTTATGTCCTGCTCCTCTTTCTATCTTGACCCCATTTTCTATCTCTTTCTCTTTGCGGTCCCCTACATCCTTGCCTGTGCAACAGCAACAGCAGCAACAGCAGCAGCAACAGCAGCAGCAGGCTTCGCGACGGGTGAAGTTCATGCTGGAGGATGGCGGCACCCGCCAAGAGTGCTGCGACTCATCACTGCAGAGCGTGGCGGACAGTGGCCTCGGGGATCCCGAGGCCACCACCACCACGGCGACCACCGCGGCCGCCAGCAGCGGCAGCAGCGCTAGCACGGCCAGCATGGCCAGCACCAGCGCCGGAGCCACGGGGGCCGGCATCCTCGGCGTCGCGGGGACAGCGGTGGGCCCGGCCGGGCCCGGCGGCGTCCTGGCCGGCGGGCTGTCCGCCGCGGGGGCGGCCAAGCTGCCGGGGTCTCAGCTGATGGCGCCGCTGCTCGCCGATTCCCACTACGAGCGCACGACGCCGGACGGATGCACCGGTGAGACCGATCACCACCCCGAAAACGGTACGGCACCGAGCTTTGAGCGCCCTTTGCTCACCGCATTCCTGACCACTCCGCGGGACAAACAGTTTACGTTTCGACCGCGCTTCATCATCAGCTGTCTTTCTTTTCTGCCCTTTGTTTTGTTTTGTTCTTCATCGGTCGTTAAAAAGTGAGGCCGTGTGGTGTTTATAAATTCCGCCCTGTGAAAAAACCGAAGTGAGGTGCGCAGTTCCAAGACAAAGTTGGCAGATGCAGGCCTGCAAGCCATCAGCTTGAGAGCAGGAGCCCTGGATTTATGGAAGGGGCAGGCACGAGGCCAGGTCTCGGCTCAGATCTATAAACCACGTGTGTAATCACTCCCGGGTAATGTACACAAACATTCACTTATTGTGAGTCTGATGCGCAGGGCATAGGCTTGACATCCCCGTTTGTTTATAACCATCCGCAACAATTTGCCTCCATTGACCCGGGGGCCCGGAACAGATAGCGGTGAAGAGGGGCCTTGTGACCAGGTGTCCCCTTCCTCCCCCCCCAGGTCTGGCTTGCTTCAGTAACCATGCTTCAGACACCCAGCGCTGATCCCACAGCAAAGGGGGAGTGGGGGAATGGTGGTACGCACGGCCCTGCTAGCCCAGGTCTTCACAACCTCCACACGGAGTGCCCGGGTGGACTGCACCAAACCTCGTTAATCCGGGGGGCAACGTTTTTTGGCGCCACGGGGAGTTCGTTTTGTCGTAGTGCGGTTGTTTGTGGCCCGAGTGATGTGCCCGGTCGTGGGGAATTAGTTTCGTGGAAGCAACCCCCTGAAGATGCACAACAGAGGCCCCCGTGGCCTGCGAACGCATTGTCAGAAAAGCCCTCCTCTGCTGGTCATTTCGCACATAACAAATTCATCCCTTTTCTATTGTCGCCTATAAAAGCGGTTATTGCAAACCGATTTTCGAGCGTTCATAGAGGGAAAGCATTTTCTTTTCTTAACCCCCCCCCCCCACCCCCCCCACCGAATGAAAATCCATACGTGTGTCAGCTCCATGTGCTTCTCCCCACCCCCGCACCCCACCCGCTATGCACCACGATCCGCCCCGGCGTGAGCAGAACGAACGGTAACGTATCTCACCGCCCGCGGCTCGCATCGCGTTCCAAGCTTTGATTGTGCACCCCGTTGGCGGTGGCGTCGTCCTCATCGTCGTGTGAGTTGGCGCGGGTGATGAATGAAGCGGCGTGTGTCCCTGTGCTCGTTCTATCGCTGCCTCCCACCCCCCTCTCCTCTCGTCTCACTGCTGTGGCAAGATGTTAACTCCCTCGCCTGGTATACAGGATGTCGTGGGTTTGATCTCGAACCTGACGCCAGCTGCATACTTGGAGTTTGCGTGGTCTCTCTCCCCGTGGCCATGTGGATTTTTCTCCAGGTCTTCCGGTTTTTCCCCTCCACATTTAAATTCAACATCCCGCATTTAGAGTATTTGACTGCTACAAATGTCCATGTTATCAACCACTTCGCTGAGCTATAATTTGTGCTGATGGCGCATTTAGCACTCCTGCCACCTCATGGCGTCGTGTGAGGAGTTGATGTAGCAGTAATAACAAAAATATACATTTAGAATGTACTTTTCTACAAGGTACTCAAAGCACTTTCGATACAAAGAGAAAGACTCACCATATAAATAGGCCGTTGGGGCGAGTGCTGCTAGGCTGGCATGGCACACGAGGGGGTGGGTGGCCAGCACCACGCCTGGCCGCCCTTCTCTCCCTAGTGGCGATGTTTACTACACACCGTACTAGGCACTCATTTGAAGCCGAGCGCTTTCTCCACATGACACACACACACACACCGTCCGATCACAGCCACATGACCGCAGGCCTTCACACTGCCGTCCCTCCCGAGTCCCAGCAATCCGCAGCCGCCCGGGGCAAAATACCGACTTTGCCTCTGCGTCCAAAGTTGGCGCTTCCACGTTGCCCCCCTCCACCGCCCCCCCTCCCCCCCTCCGCACGGCCGTCAACTGCCGACGCTCTTCCTCTCTGTAGCCCTCCACTCAGTGGGCTCCCCCGTCCCGCGGGGCCCCCTGTCGCGGTTGCATCGCCTTGCGCACACGACGGCGATGACGGCCGCCGACGCCGCTTGTGTACGTCTCACCTCCAGGCCCCCCCCACTGACGCCAATCGCGCTCCTGCCAGACCCGCTTTGCGAAAACGCGGCGCGGTGAAGCACGCGGTGTCGTCTCTTGAACGGGGGACCCCCTCTGCCCGACGATGATGAAGCGCTCGAGGCCGCATTAAGGAATTTGGCTAATGAGACGCGCGGCAGGGCTCTGTGGGGCGCTGGCCGGGTCTGCGAGCTCGCACGGGTAATGACCGATTCGCCAGAGCACGGCCCAGGACATTACATCTGTTCAGCGGTTCGATGACGGTCGCACTTTTTAAATAAATTGCAGCAATTGCGACGGTGCTGATCTAGGAGTGTAATTTGGAGACCTTTTTTTCCATCTAAAAAACTATTTATTACAAAGCAATTTCCACCTTTCCTATATTCCTACCACTTCCACCTTATGCCCCCCACCCCCCCTCCCCCCCATGCAATAACCTCTGGGTTTCTATTGAATGGTAATGTACATGCGTGTCCGGTGTGTAAGTCCTTAGTGCATAGGTCACTGTGGATTCTACAGAGACAATAGCTCTCTGATGTGTTTTTGGGTTTGTGCCGCGTTTTGCGCATACGTGATGCCCAACGTTTCGCTCCACGTGATGGGACCTTCTTCCGGAAACCGAACTCGGTCTGGTCCCTGAGTACGAAACGTCGGACGTCATGATCAAAAGAACGCAGCGCGACCCGAAAAGCACGGCGGAGAGACGCAGAGCTCAACCGTGAAAACTCGCGCAGGGGTTTTAGCGGAGCCCCATCGCCACGGGATTGGGATTCGTTTGATGTAAGGACGGGCGTGTGCACGGTGTTTGACAACAACAAAAAATCTACGTCTTCTGGTTTTCATTAAAATAATTATAAATTATTATAATTTAATATTAACATCTTACCATGGCCGGGAAAATGGCTGTCAGGTCTTGAAAGTCACGGTGCAAGTCCCGAGGCTTTGGCGCCCCGGCAGACAGCTGCCAATGAGGGACCCTCACCACAACCATCGTCACCATCGCTCCATTCGCTGTCATCGCCACCGCTGCCGTGACCCCCGCTGCTTGCCAATCATTTACGCGTCGCTGGCCGCTTAGCGGCGCGTCGGGGTAACAACATTAATAGCGTCAAAAAAAGTTAAACTCTCCTGCCTCACTTTTTCAACCGCATGGCTGATCAAAGTTTCCATCAAATTATGCCGATATTAAAGCTCTAGTGGAGGGCGAAGGATGGCGATGAGATAATTGCTCCGCCCGCGGAGTGGAATGCGGGCATCCCGTCAATTGCTTTAAACCATCTCCACGAGAGCAGCTGGTGAGAGGACGTCAGTTCATGCGGTGCCAAAGGACGCTGCTTTCACAGAGCTCCTGCCAAGGTGCTGCCAACAATTACCATAAGGCTTCTGATACCGGGGACCATGCCAATGCCTTTTCTAAATTTGATTATATCTCTCTATTTTATCCGTATCCCTTTGCGCGTCTTTTCGGAGGGGTTTTTAAAACTTGCACGCATTGGCTTGTCCATCTTGTTCTTTGTAATTAGCGGTCCAGAAGATTTAATGGGCAGTCTTGCATCGTTGGCACTTGGTAGCAACTTTGGCAAATTTTCGGATTTAACGCCTTTGTCTTTTTTTTTGGCTGCACTAACAAACGGTGCATCGCTTCATCTGACTGTGCACTCGTCCACTTGTAAAGGAGTCTGCCGATTAATGCAGCAGCTTGCGTTGAGCAGAGTGCGAACAAAAGGATCCTTTGCGATGACGTGTGACGCTGGCGGTAGCGCTCTGTGTCGACGCCACGTTTGGGTCGTGCAGAACGGAACGCAGGCACTCCACGGTCCGTTACTTCTCCACCCCAGTGGTGCTGCTGATGGCCCATTGGGGGCCCTAAGCCGACCATTCTCTTTGGTTCCCCTTCCCCATTCCCCCATGCAATTAAATACAATCCTCGTGAGGTGTCAGAAAATATGCATGCGTAAAAAGACTGAGATGTAGTGGGTTGAGAAAAGAGAAATGCAGTCAAGACAGATGAGAAATATTAATTGGCTTTTATGTTAATGGCTTGTTTATGTTGATTAGATAATTAATTGATGTACCCTTCTTTAATTAATCCAGAGGCCGCCTGTGCTTGCTTGGGTCATTGAGCTCTTGCTTGGCGTGCTTATGCAGTGTCCCCCGTTGTTATCACACAGAACGCGGCCTCAATTAATAAGTGATTGTGAGTGAAATCAGCTTTATTTTACACTGGCAACAGAGGACAGATCAAATGGTAGCTATGCAACAGAGTGCAATTTATGTTCAAACATACTGCAATGTATGTGTCAGTCAGGCTGTAATCAGTCATGATAGGGTTTAGAGAGAAGAAAAAAGTACCTTATGAAAAATATAAAATAAAAATGTGTACGATGTGCAGAGTTCAGTCAACAGAGTGCAGTGCATTGATGGACTGTTCTTGTATTCATATATTAAAGGCATTGGCGCCATCCCTAAGCACTTTCAGAAACAGTACATTTCAACAACCCAAGAACGAACAAGCGATGGGTGTTGTTTTTGGTGGTAAAAACCGGGCAAAAGTTTAAAATAGCAATCCAGAATTGTTTGGGTCTCCTGACGTGTGCACAGGCTTAGGGATATGCTCCCGATTTTTAGATTGATCTGAAAAAAAAATAGAAAATCAGGCCTAGATATGGAATTCAGGACTATCTGAATTACTCGGATTACTCCAGGAAAGGAAGTGAAGCCACATATGAAACAATGCAACAAATTTGCCGATAACACATCTTTAAAAGAAAACATACATATATAAAATAGGCACTGTTTTGGATAATGGCCTTCTTCATAGCGTGTAGATGAATATGACATAATTTCTGATGTTTTCCTCCCAAAAATTGTGTC